TTTTTTTTTGTTTTGTTTATGCATTGTGTATATTAAATGGCTTTTAAAAAATGAATAGTGATATTTTGTCATCAATATTATTTTTGTGTGTACTATATTACTGCAAGCAGGCATTGCATATTTTCTGTGATTGATCTGCTGATTAATCTATCAAGGAATAGCTCAGAAGGTAGAGTGGTCGCCCCATGATCGGAAGGGTTAGGGGTTCAAATCTACTGAGGTACCCCTGAGCAAGGTACCGTCCCTACACACTGCTCCCCAGTGCGCCTGCTTAGTGGCTGCCCACTGCTTCACTAAGTGAATGGGTCAAATGCAGAGGAGTAATTTCAATAAAGTATACATTATTATTAATAACATATTTCTAGGTAAGAGAACCCTGCTGATAAATGTTCCTCTTGCCACATCCTACTTGTGGCCTCTGCTGTGGCTTCAATCAAGACAAAATACAGATCAAAGCTGGACTGCGGGAACCTTAAACCTGCATTCTCCTTAACTGCCAGTAGGGGGTAACTCCTGCGACAATGACGTAGATTTCCGTAGATCGATGTAGCTCAGAAATCAGGCAGCAAACCCCTGTGATCCGTACGACGCTAACTTCACGTACACGTCCTGAAATGTAACACGTCGATCCATGAAGCCCGCAACTATTGTAATTAGTATTAGCATCAGTATAAAAAGTCACATTCTTGAAGGGTGCTTAATCTGCCACAATGGACGTGAGGGAATCTACAAAAAAGTAGAAAAATTACATAGACAATGTGTTTGCCTCCTAAAAGAATGAAACATAAAAAAAAACCTTACTATAAGAAAGCGCGGACACCGATGGGAAAAGTCTGGTTATTTATCTCTATCAGCTGTTAATTAACGCGTAATACACCAACACAAGTGCATCACTTACGTAGGTTACGTCGTAGCTCTACAAAGGCTCATCGCAGATAAAACAGGCATCAGATTGTACATGACCTCATATGTGACCTCTTCTGATAACATTTGAAACGGAATTGATAAACTTAACAACAAACACACAAACACACACAGAAAAGGCGAATCTGTGCTTTTGGTTGTAAAATATTTGTGACACATCGAAGAATTCACGTTAACGATAAATGTAGAATTTCAAAGTGTAGCTTCAATACTGTCTTCCGTTTATGCAGGGAAGCGTGGCGTTGTCCAATAGGGGGCGGGGGGGGTCATGTTTTGGAGGAACGTTGGGTGCGTTCCCGGAGCAACAGGGAAGATGGCAGCCCTCACATCTCTAACCCAGGTAAAGATGCCGTAGTATATGACTTATAGTTTAGATCAGACATATGATTTTTCGAAGCGTGATACAATATAGGTGATTCATGGCAGTGGGTTTTAATGTAACTGCGAACTGAAGACGAGTTCCTCTTTAAATGCAGCTGGTAATGAGGCAGGCAGCTAGTAGAAAGAAAGGCCTATTGCAGTACCGTTAGGTAGCGGGCTGGATAGCATCAGCTGGCAGTACCTAGCCGTGTGGCCATTTACCTACGCCCGAAATATATAATATGCAGTCGCCCGATTATTATTATACGTTTAAGACAATAAGCACCACGAAAGCTGTACATAAGGTTACAACAAAGTGGAGCGTAAATGAAAAAAAGTGTCAATAAACTATAATAACGTTCACTCATCGAGCTAGCAAGTCCTAGCTAACCTAGCCTAGTACTGCAAGGATGAGGATAAACGCTCATTCAAGCAGGCTGTGCATTGAGCTGTTTAAGATTCGTCATGCCGAAATAAAACGGTTCTTAGCTCTCAGCGTGGGAGTTAACGTCGAGGCTGATAGCATCCACGCTAATGATAGTCTTGCTTGCCGAGTTTGCACGTCAGTTGTATGAACAGATTTTAAATAGCAAAATAGAGAAGCGTTATATGTTATATATTTGAATGACCTGTTATGTTGCGATATGCACGTCCTCTATCTGCACTGAAAGAATTCTCCTCAGTTCTTCTTCTTCTTCTTCTTCTTTTTCCGTCTTATCCAAAACTAATGCCTTATGGAGTGTGGAGGCCCCAAGGGTCAGGCAAAAATATTTTACTTGCTGGGGTTATTTTTGCTTGGTTTGTTTCAGCTGGCAGAAAAAAATGTCATTTAAAATATAGTGATAGTGGTAGCTGCATTTGATGGATGGATGATGAATTCTATTTCGTTTAAGTTTTATTTATATAAATCACAACAGTCGCCTTATGGGGCCGTGATTCTGGTGAGACAATAATGATACAAAACCCAGAAAGTGAATGGTTTTACAGGTGGTGACCACAGCCTGTTGCTCTCTCCTTATGCCTCCTCACTGATTTTTCTGAAGCTTGCCTACTAAATAAGCTTCTGGCCTTATCACAGACTGGTAGTGTGACCTCTGTGTGATGTCTTCTTGGACTGTCTAAATGGGTGAACTGGAGCAGCATTTTATAGTAACAGCTCCTTTATTTAGTGTTTGCATTGATAACAAAGGATAACAAACTGGGATTGTTAATTCTTGTGGTGAAGCAGTGCGAGGTCTCTATGTTAATCCTCTGTTACTCTGAGGATTACCCACAATACTTTACCCTTACTATGTGTAACACTTTTTATCATTTGCATTCTGCTGTATGCATTGGCAGTGTGCTCATATAGTGATTTCGGTTTGTGCCAACAAAATAAAAAAGACTGAGACAATCAGTGTCTTAAATTACCAAATTTGAAGATAATACTATGTATGTATGTATGCTCTAAACCGTGGTACACAGTCACATGCCCGCATTTATGACGAAGGATAACAAAGTGGGATGGTTACAAACCGTACGAGGTCTGTGTGAAAAGATGGCATCACATCAGAGTTAGCTAGCTATACTCCAGATCATTTTTACTGGTAACGATTTGACTCAACAAAAGCATAACAGAAATAATCCACACCAGATGATAATAAACCAAAAATCCCAAATTCAGATTCTATTTGTATTTCTTTTAAGTGCCATATATTTTTGTCCACAACATTCACAGATGTGTTACCTCTATGTCAGAGGTGTCAAAGTCATTTTTACACCTTAAGTGGGTCCAGTGAAACTCCCCTTTCTGTCAGTGGAAAGAAGTTAAATATTTAACTGTTTTTCTACATGATAAATGAAAAGCTGTTGCAGCAAAGAAAGAAATCCGTCAGCACAACTCTTTGGACTGAAATTGTAAGAAATAAATGTCTCCACTTACAGAAAAAGTTCTGGTAGCTCATTACCCAGATGGTCCAGAGGGATGCATTCCTTAAGCTTAGTGTAAAGCAGTGGTTCACAAACGGGCTAAATATTTTTCTTTTCAGTGACTGGTGTGAACCTGCTTGTTGCTGCAGATCTTCTCAAACATGGGTAACAGTTAAGACTGCTACTCCGAGTTCATATTCAATGCCCAGCTTTGATCTGTATTTTGTCTTGATTGAAGCCACAGCATAAAGCCTACCTCACATAAGTAGGATGTTGCAAAAGGAAGCTGTATGGTCAGGGCTCTCTTACCTAAAAGTGGGTAATCTTTCTCCACTCCAATCCAAAATGCAGCCAGTGTCTTTGACTTAAACGGCATCCTCTTTGTTGAATCAGAGGTGAGATAAATGAACTGTTCCTCCTCAGATGTGTTGAAGCCAGCAAGTGGTGTTGCACTGAAGGGGTCACGGATCCAGTCATCTTTTTTTAAAATCCTGCACCAGAAAATATCTCAAGAAATGTTTCTGAAGGGCAGACATGTGTTCTTTCATGCATGAGATCACTGTGTTCTGCAGCTTGTTGTTGTTAATGAATGATTTCAAATTCAAATGAGTCCACATTTCCTCATTTCCCAGCAATAGCTTGCTAGTCTAGTCTGCAGATCCCCACAAAGTCCTCCTGTTTGTTACTCTCAGTGCCTTCATCCATCTGTAGAGCAAAGCGGCTGTCACACACCTTAAGCTGCTCCTCTGTGTCCTTTCAGATATCATAAATGCACCTACTGATTGGATAAAGGAATAGCCTGTAGTATGCTGGCTGTTGTGTCATCAGTCATAGTTGAAACCATATCCATAGCACAGCGAAGTATTTATTACTCCGCAATAGTGTGTGGTTTTTTTACACTGTGCCACTTGGTAGGCAACTTTGTTGAAGCTGAGCTGAGAATTGTCCGGAACAGATGCAGCTTTAGTAAATAGACACTGTTGAGCACGACAATTCACAAGCTTTTGTCTGAAAAAGTCAACTGACTTGTCTTTGTGCTCTAGATGTTTTGTCTCCAAGTGGCATCTTCGCTTGTTAGGCTTTAAACTGCCTCAAGCTAGCAGTTTTAAGACAGACAACACACTGCAGCCTCTCCTCATTACCCACCATTGTACAGGTGTACTCAAAGGCTTCTCCTCTTTGGTTTGGAAGCATGTTTGGCAATGCTTCATCTTCTGCTTTGCGTTTGTGTGGGAGCCCTGTCAAAAACCTGTCTATTATGCTAGCAGTGTCCAAGCATTCTTTTTTTTTTTCTGCTAATACATCAGGCTTATCTCTGTCCTGTCTGGGCTTTCAACAGAACCGTCATTATTGTATTACACTTCAGTAGCGTCATCATAGGTCATCTTTTTAGTCGTTCTCTTTCTGCCCTATCTGGTGATACATGTAGACCGTCTTGGTTAGAGTAATGTCAATCAGTCTCTGGACCAATTTTCTCATTTACGGAATGAAGCAGCATCTGCAGACAGTCAACAAGGCCACTGTACTGCAACTGCAGGTCGCTTATCCCGAATGCTCGGCCCATTCATCAGCAAGGGTGGTGAGCTACTCTAATGCTCAAATCACAGTGTCATCAGGTGGAGTGTTGTTAGGGATAAACGTGCAACAACTAGCCTTGAACATCCTGCATACCCTGCCCTTCTCTACCTGGCAGGGCGAAGGACACTGTCTCAGCTGAACTCTGGACACATACACACACACGCACACAGACATATATATGCACATGCAGATGTACACTCATCCCCCCCTCCCCCTCCAAACGCCTTCGACGCTTATTCCCTTCCGATGCTGACGGTGGATCAAGGAGACCAGCGCATATGCTGCAGGCCCGGATGCACTGTCTACACTGGCTGTCTCTCACCCTTTACCCATCCCTGTTGCTTGTCATGTGTTCTTTGCTGTATTAAGAGTTTTTTCATGTGCTACGTGCAGAGGTGTTTTTTTTCTGTTCTCAAACTGATCTCCCTGTTGGAGCTCAGTCTGGGGGGGAGTTATTTTTTTCTCCTTATCTTTCCTCATGTTGTGCATTTTCCATTGTTATACCTCTCTGACCTGTCTTCCCCATGTGATGTTTTCATGCAATGTATGTATGGTCGGAGGGTAAGATGGTGCCGCCACTGCGTGCAATTGGTCGACAGCTTTAACATGAAATTTCCCACTTGTGGGACTAATAAAGGTATCTTATCTTATCTTATCTTATGTTATCTTAACATATCTAAAGCCATTCTGTTCTGCCAAATCATCAGAGAAGTTGCATTTAGTTGTTCACAGAGCCCCTTCACTGCATCCCCAGTGTAATTCAGAAATCTCTACTGATTGTAATAACAAAAATTAATCCGATATACACGCATTTTTTAAAAAAAAATTCTCCAGATAAAGACTGACTCAGAACCCCCGCAGGTATTTGATTTCTAGCTTTAAACTCGTCGGGCGTTCCACGGGGAGTGCCCGAGGAGGTCAGGTGCTGAAAGTCGACACGATTTACATATTTTTGAGATGAGACTAGGCTGAAAGCCATGGCAGACGTTCTTATGGTATATATGGGTATGTGCCATCCTGGAGGAGCTGGACTACCTGCGCAACCTGAATGACTTGCAGTTGCTGTCTTATACTAGCAGTAGTGTTAAGGAGACTAACAAAAAGAAAAACTGACTGGAAAATCACTGAAGAAGGATGAGGAGGTCTTTGGCCAGCACCTGCAAAACCATTCTCCTTTCGGTTGTTGTCTTGTTGCCTCACCAGTGCACCTGCTGTCTCTTTGATTTGTACCAAAGAAAGAAAAATGGATTCAGAATGGTTTATACTTCCTAACTAGACAGATTGAGTTTAACTGACCGGGTGTTATACTGTGATAAGCAAGTGATTTTTGAATAGTGTAGATGTCATATATGTCTGTTAATCATTTAATAAATTTCTTTCTCTGTCACAGTTGTCCAGTGGGAACCCTGTATATGAGAACTTTTACAGGCAGGTAAGATGATGACACAAAACATAAAACTTTTAAGCTTCAACCTATTTTGTGTAAAAGAATATAAAAGATGGTACAAGAGAGAGATGCCTATGGAATGTAACACTGCACTGATCCTTTGTTTTAAGGTGGATCCTGGGAATACAGGGAGAGTAGGACCAACAGAAGCTGCTCTTTTCTTAAAAAAGTCTGGACTCCCTGACCTTACTTTGGGAAAGGTAGGTAACCAAAGTTACACATCACGTAACAGCTGGTTATGGCTCTTAGATTTTTAC